AGATATATTTTTACAAAACGAAAATTATTTAACAAAAAGGAAGGTACATATTCATAATTTTAAAACTTTTCTGCTGGTAGGTTTGTTACAGATCGTTATTTTCTTCAACCAGTCTGTTTGTTCCAAACAAATATTATCAATAACTGGTTTCACTGTTGCTGGAATAATTATATCACAAACTCTTGATTTATGTTCCAAGCAACAAAATAATGGATTTTGGTCCAAAGAAGGATGGAGCAGATTACATATTTGTTGACATGTCTTTTTGGAGTTTAAAAACGGCAACATTTTTTGAGTGACATCACTTAACAATTCCGCAGCGGAGGATCTGACGCATTGCATATTCTGCCGCTCTGGCATCCGTTGCATCATTGGAGCTTCCTTTTAATCTCACGTGTGAGAACGTTGCTTCCACCGCATCGGAGCTAAAGGAACGCGTAAGAACATAGTAAAAGCCTGCTTGTTCTAATAAAAACTTAACACACAAATATGTACTTCTGGCAATAAATTTTAAAGCATGTGCAGTCTCTTGAGTGAAACCACGAAAACCGGTGCTAGCAGTATTTGATAAGCAGTGGCGGCTCGTGAAGTTTTCTTCAGAGGAGGCTCAAATTTGAAAAGCACTACTTACACCCGATTGCTCCAACTAATAAGAAAGAGATAAAGTTATCTGCACGACTTGATCTGAAAAGAGATGAACTAGCCGGAGGCTAGCGGCTTGGAGCGGCTGTCCGATCAACGTTTTAGCCAATGCAATGCACACTGACGGTGCGTCAAGGTTACGGTCTCATTATTCAGATGCATCGTCGTTCGGAGGCTAGCGGCTAGCAAGCCTCTGCCGCTGAAACCAAACGCGGAGTGGTGTGAATGTGAATTATGATTGTGAGGGCGCAAATATAAATTTTTCCGACATTTTAACCTGATATATGATGAAAGTAAATGAAATCCAAGAAAATATTCTGAAAAATAATAAATGTCTACAAAAATATAAATTCTTTCATCGAAAAAAATTAGAGGAAACTCAGCTCCAAAAAATAGAGGAGACTCAGCCTCCCCTGCCTCCTCTGAGGAGCCGCCACTGTTGATAAGATAAAACTGATTTTCGCACTTTTGACATTTTCAACTATTTTTCATTTATTTTCGAAACACTGGTCAACAAAATTCAATTTTTTCTCTCTAACTTTGACATAATTGTAATGTTTTCGTTTTATTTGTCTCTGTGTTTGTAACAAAGGGCATAAACCGTATAACTTAGCTCAATTAAAATGAAAAATGCATATTTGATGTTAAAAACAAAAAATCAGGTAAAACAATTTAATTTTTGTATCTTTAACGGCAAAAAGTGATGTATTAACAAAAGAACAACCATAATTAAGAAAAAAACAACGATTGTAGTTTAAAAAACGAAAAAAAAAACAAAAGAAACAGCTAAGACTGACGTTTTTTCGGTTGCCTCCTATAGGTTTCATTGGAGATCTCTCGCTTGATGGTTCAGCAGTATTCTGCGAGCATTTAGGTGTTCCATCGATCTTGGTAACGTTTTTCTATCGACAAAATGCCCAGATGGAAGCGTTCTCCATGTCCGTCACTCACGTCGTCATAATTTTTGAGGAAAAATTCAAGATGCGAATACATAAAATGCACTTTTAAGAATATGTTAATTTTAAATTTTTTATATGATAACATGTTTTCTACTTACTAAAAGTAGTTTTCTTATTGTTTCCCAAGAAGTTTGTAGCAATTTGATCACAAAAAAATACACCTTATAGAAAGTTTCCTATTACTTAATAGTACGATTTTTGTATTTTTCAAAGGATAATATTTTAAGATTACTTTTAAATGAGAGCTAAGTTTTGGTTTAGCCGTTTATAATATCATTTAAAATTGTTAATTAAATAATAATTGGCTGCTATAATAAAAGTTAGAGCTTAGCTGTTGACCAGTGAAATTAGCGAAAAAAGTGACAACAATTTTTCGTAATTTCCAGAAAATTTTTGTCTGAAACAGTTAAAAGACGATCTGACCCATCGGAAAATATGTAGTTGACTTATAGATAAAATATTTTTTGAGGATTTGTCTTCAAATAACTGAGAAATGCGAGGAAAGGACTCCAAAAAATTTCCAAAAAATTTGAAACCGTTCCAAATGGCTTTATTTCAGAGAAAAACATTGAGTTTCTAGTTTTATAGAATACTAATCGCAAATTTACCTTATGAAATACTAGCCCCGTCCACCCACTCACCCTCCATTTTCTTAAAGAGTATGTCATTTGCCAAATATTGTCTTATCTTAGCAACTACTAGCCCCACCCACCCACCCTCTATTTTCTTAGGGATATGTTATTTACTAAAATCAGTTTTTTTGTTAGCAAATACTAGCCCCGCCCACCCGCCCTCTCTTACCTTGTAGGATATGTCATTTGCCACCGTTAGTCTTACCTTAGCAAGTACTAGCCCCGCCCACCCGCGCTCTAGTTTCTTGGAAGGTATGTGATTTGCCAAAATCAGTATTATCTTAGCAAGTACTATATTGTATATTGAAGTGGCAAAATAAATGATTAAACAATAATTAAATACTACTTGCTAAGATAATACTGATTTTGGCAAATGACATACCTTCCAAGAAAATAGAGGGTGGGTGGGCGGGGCTAGTATCTGCTAAGATAAAACTGATTTTCGCACTTTTGACATTTTCAATTATTTTTCAACTATTTCAGAAAATTAGTTGAAGACATTTTTTGTAATTTCCAAAAATTTTTTGTCTGTAACAGTTAAAAGACGATCTGATCCAGCGGAAAATAGTTGGCTTATAGATAATTTTTCGCAGATTACGAATCTAAAATATTTTTCACGATTTCTCTTCAAATAACTGAGAAATGCAAGAAAAGGAGTCCAAAAATTCCCAACATTTCCAAAAAATTCTAAAACCGTTCCAAATGGCTTTATTTGAGAGGAAAACATTGACTTTCTAGTTTTATAGAATACTAATCGCAAATTTACCTTATGAAATACTAGCCCCGCCCACCCACTCACCCTCCATTCTCTTAAAGAGTATGTCGTTTGCCAAAAATTGCCTTATTTAAGCAAGTATTAGCCCCACCCAGCCACCCTGTATTTTCTTAGGGATGTTTTTTACTGAAATCAGTTTTTTTCTTAGCAAATATTAGCCCCGCCCACCCGCCCTCTCTTACCTTGTAGGATATGTCATTTGCCACCATTAGTCTTATCTTAGGAAGTACTAGCCCCGCCCACCCGCCCTCTAGTTTCTTGGAAGGTATGTGATTTGCCAAAATCAGTATTATCTTAGCAAGTACTATATTGTATATTGAAATGGCAAAATAAATGATTAAACAATAATTAAATAGTACTTGCTAAGATAATACTGATTTTGGCAAATCACATACCTTCCAAGAAAATAGAGGGTGGGCGGGCGGGGCTAGTATTTGATAAGATAAAACTGATTTTCGCACTTTTGACATTTTCAACTATTTCAGAAAATTAGTTGAAGACATTTTTTTGTAATTTCCAAAAATTTTTTGTCTGAAACAGTTAAAAGACGATCTGATCCAACGGAAAATAGTTGGCTTATAGATAATTTTTCGCAGATTACGAATCTAAAATATTTTTCACGATTTGTCTTCAAATAACTGAATCTAAATGTTACCCTTTTTAAAAAACTTTCTAATACCACCGTTTTTAAACTCTAAAAAGACATGTCAACAAATATGTAATCTGCTCCATCCTTCTTTGGACCAAAATCCATTATTTTGTTGCTTGGAACATAAATCAAGAGTTTGTGATATAATTATTCGAGCAACGGTGAAACCAGTTATTGATAATATTTGTTTGGAACAAACAGACTGGTTGAAGAAAATAACGATCTGTAACAAACCTACCAGCAGAAAAGTTTTAAAATTATGAATATGTACTTTCCTTTTTGTTAAATAATTTTCGTTTTGTAAAAATATATCTTTTATTTCAAAACTAAATAGTAGGAGTAATATCATTAATGTTCTTGTGCCATTATCTACATTTTCAGAAAAACGTGATATTTTAAAACGTCATTTTGACAATTATTTGCCAACCAAGTTCATAATTGTACTCAACAGATGTCGTTGCCTGATTAACGATTTTGGAAACGTCAAAGAATCAACTTTTTATACGAATTGGGATGGCCATATGTATTAATACAGTTGGCCGTGGTTAAACACAATATGATAAAACTCAATAATGATATGATTCATATATAGATAACCGTACTACCTAATTTTTGTTTTTAGTACATTTGAAATTAAGTAAAAAATTAAATATAACAAGAATAATTAAATTTCTTGTTTTCCGGTTATTAAAATTGTGGAAAGAAACGGTCCTACAGTGAATTTATTAAAGCAGATTAAAATTAACGATCAGTGATACAAAATGTGATATATGTAGGTTGTAGAATTGTCGATATATAATATTTATCACACAATGTTTACGCCGAATTTATTATACAAAATAAATACTCCTACTTGTTATCTATTATAATACATATATGCATACAATAGTATATTACATACCGAGGTGGAAAGAAGTTCGTTCCCTTGGAGATGAAAGAGTTTACCGAGGGTAAAAATTTTCACAATAATAAAAATGCCGAAAAAATGCTAGTGCTTACATTTGCAATATTTTAAAATTCAGTCTTAATTGAAAGCGTCACATTTAAAAACATTAAAACTTTAAATTTAAAATATATGTAAATTAAAAAACAAAGTAAAACAAATCAGTCAAACAAATAAACTGCGTTATGAAGAAGTATGACTGTAAATCTTGTTAAGGAGCACGACTTTTTGATACAAAAGATGGTAACAGTTGAATTAATTCACACGACCATATTTACACCATCAGTAATCGAAAACACAGACATGACGTTACCATGATTTTAAATCTAAATTACAAATCCTACCGTGTAATTAACCTCGAATAATTTTAAACGTTTATTTTCATTGCATATACCATTTCGTAATCATATTCCATACGTTTTCACGGACTACTGAACAAAAGGCAAACAAAAAATGTCCTTAAACACTATTTCGTTATAAGTCGCACTTTCCACGAGTTAGTTAAAACAGAAAAGTTATATAGAAGAAGAGCTCTGGGTGGTAAGTTAGTTTACCCTTACCTGAAACATTCATTTAAAAAATAAAATAAATGAAGTCATTTTTAAAATCCTGTTTCAGGCCGTGAAAATATTTGAAATCATATTCAATGCAGGATCAACTGTGCTAGCATTCTGTTAAAAATTCGCAACAACTGACATGTCTTCCTCGACGCTGGTCTTTATAATCACGCTCTTCTGTTTCATTTGGTAAGTACAGAAGTGTTTGTTAAAACTGTGTATATAAAAAACATGTCCAGTACTACCACACAAGAAGCAAATAGCCAAATATTTCCTCCAAATTTTAAATTTGGAGTAGCAACAGCGTCATACCAAATTGAAGGAGGTTGTAATGAAGATGGCAAAGGAGAAAACATCTGGGATCGCTTTACACATACATCACCAAACAAAATATTCGACCACTCCACCGGTGATGTAGCTTGCGATTCGTATCACAAATATGAAACTGATATAGCTTTACTCAAAGAACTTGGAGTCGACTTTTACAGATTTTCAATCTCGTGGTCTAGAATTTTACCAACTGGGTATGTTGACGATGGAATTAATCACCGAGGTGTCGAATATTATAACAACATTCTAAATTTATTGCACCAAAATAATATAGAAGCCATGATCACACTATATCATTGGGACTTACCTCAGCATCTTCATGAAAGCATGGGTGGATGGTTAAATGAAACCATTGTGGACATTTTCGCAAAATATGCTGATCTAGCTTTCCATTTTTTTGGGGACAGAGTAAAATATTGGATCACTTTTAATGAGCCTAATAACTTTTGTCAGAATGGTTATGAAACTGCAATAGACGCTCCAGGTCTGGCTAACAATCTTGGTGTGGATGTGTACACTTGCGCTCATAATGTTATAAAGTCACATGCGGCGGTTTATCATATGTATGACAAAACCTACCGAAAATTGCAGAAAGGTAAAATATCGCTCATACTTTATACCAAATGGGCCCAGTCTAGTACCAACACTCACAAGGATTTTAAAGCAGCAGAACGAAGTTTACAGTTCCAAGTAAACACTAAAAATTACGAAATTCGTATTTATATTTGTTTTTCTTTAGTTTGGATGGTTTGCAAATCCTATTATAAAAGGAAATTATCCACGGATAATGATTGAACGAATTCGTGAAAGAAGCATAAAAGAAGGATTTCAAAAATCACGTCTTCCTAAATTTACTAAAAAAGAAATAAGATACATAAAAGGCACTTTTGATTTTATTGGTGTTAACCACTACACAACACACATGGTAAAATGGATAGATGATATTCCAATAGGGAAACCTAGCGCATTTAAAGATATATCTGTTGAGGAATACTTTAAAGATTCCTGGAAAGGCTCTGGATCATTTTGGCTCAAAGTAAATAGAACTTATTTTTCGTCCATGGTAACAGACAACTTATTTTTAGGTTGTTCCATGTGGAATAAGAAATATCGCCAAATGGATAAAAAATACTTACAACAATCCTAACATTATAATTACAGAAAATGGTTACTCAGATGGGGAAATAATATTGCATGATTTTGACAGAAAAAATTATCACAAGGTAAAATAAACTATTTGTTTCAATATCTATATCATTCTTTCAGAACTATTTAAAATATTTGTTGAAAGCCATTTATAACGATCATGTCAACATAACAGGTTACACAGCGTGGAGTTTGCTCGATAACTTTGAATGGAGGGAAGGGTATTCGTAAGTAGCAAAGTGCTTATTTTATTTGCCTAATGACTAAAAGAAATCATCCTAATAATGGGAATGTGAAATCTTTTTCAGTGAGAGATTTGGTCTGTATGCTGTTAATTTTACTGACTCTAGCCGTCCCAGAATACCGAAAGACTCAGCAGAATATTACAAAATTATTTTGAAGACAAGACATCTAATAAGTTAAAAATACATAATCGATTTACCACTTTAAAGCACATGAATATTTTTATTTAAAAGAAATGCAAATGTGGAAAATGTCATGTAACATATGAATATAAGGAAAAAAACTTGCAATTAATCATACACAACTAAAAACTTTTCCATATTCCATCAATATTTGTTATTCCAGATGCCCGATTAACAAAACATTTTTGACATGATACCTTATATCACTCTAACGGACTAGAGACACGATGTAAATAAAAAAAATGTTGGGTCACTACAGACATCAAAAGATTTCTTCTAATTAACAATAGGTCTTTATTTTTTTATTTTTATTTTTATTTCACACTATCAGTAGCATATGTATCGGGTGATATTTTAAATTTCTGCTCCAGTTACCCCTGCTATTTAAAAAATCACATGATATTACTTACATTAGTATTATATTTCAACGTTTTATAAGAAAACAAAACGAATTTTCATCTGGACTCATAGTTAGGTCTAAACAGTGTTGCGAAGTAGACCCATACTCCGTCCCGGTACGATGCATATAGATTTTCTAGTATATACTGATGACTCATCATCGGTGACTGCGGCGTTCACTTAAAGAAAAGGCTGGGAGCGGTTTGTCGGAAGGCTGCGGATGTCTCGATGGTGGAGTCCAGAACAACCTCGAAAGCGGCGATCGCGATAGGTCCAGCCCAGTGAATTAATGAATATCAGTCAAGTTGAGTTAGAATTATTCGCTGTCACATTTTCGCTGTGTAATTAATCGTGCAAATTTGTGTTGCTGAGGAATAAATTGTTGAGTTTTACCCACGCTGATTTCAATTACCAAGCATTGTAAGAATATTTATATAATAAAAATCATTAAAAAATAGAGAACCTGCTGCTTTACAAGCCAAATTGTGGTTAGAAAAGATTCTACTAAGTTAAATTAGTTAAATAAAATTTAACTGAAACGATAATTCAAATTTGAAAACATTATTTTTTTACTTCTCCAACAATTAGCTCCAGAATCCTTACCATCCTTATGGATAAAGTTTACCATTTACGTAAGATACCTTAAACCCCGTAAAGTGCCCATGAATTCTGTTGTACTGCCCACCAGGGGTTGTCATGTAGCTTCTTCCTTTTTTTTTACTCTTCGTGTTTTGAGTATTTTCTATACAACTATCTTGCCTTCAAGACAAACATTATCTGACCGAGAAATGAAAATTTGTGTCTTTATTTTCCATTACCTGAAAGTTCATCACAGAACGACTTCTTTTTAAGGTCAACATTTAATTGTTGTGTTTAATAAAGTTGTTCTGTCTAGATTATTTCCCACATTTGTTATGTAAAGATGCTGACACAGCAAACTTAACAAAACTCTTACTCAACTAGAACACTATATTAATCTTAAGAGAATTTCTGTGCCTAAAGTTAATACATAATACCAGTGTGAAATAGATTATGTCATCAACACCCATCTAACCAAGTCTTCACCTAAGAATTCTGACAAAAAATTTACAATTTTTTGGTTTTCGGAAATTTAATAATTTTAGTCAATCCATAAATAGTGCAAACATTTTTGATAACTTGTTGTTACTAATTATTTACTTATATACTTTACAATAATAATCCAAAATGTATTCTTTTAAAGCCATACTTGAAGTAACAAAAACATTAATAATTTACTTTTAGTTAAATACGTATCATTAATCCGAGAATGAATCACCCACTTGGAAATGATTAAATAAATGACACAACCACAACACATTAATCTAGGTGAGTATCGGCTCTTTATAACTATCTTATCAACAAAAAAGTAGGTATAAAAAGAAACAAATTTCTGCAGCATGTATTCTTCACAAAAAGTATTCTAATAGCCTAAACTAAAATGGCTTCATTAGAAATATATTACACGTTCATTGTTTGCCTTTTTTGCTTGTAAGTATGAAAATTAGTTACATTTTATAAACAATTTATTTTTTTGTCCATTCTACAAAGCAGCCAGACCACACTAGCTGTCGACAATCGAAAATTTCCAGCCGGATTTAAATTTGGTGTGGCTACAGCTTCCTATCAGATCGAAGGAGGATGGGATGAAGATGGTAAAGGTGAAAATATCTGGGACCATCTAACCCACGTGTCGCCAGATTTAATAAACCACCAATCCAATGGGGACATCTCTTGTGATTCGTATCACAAATATAAAACCGATGTAGCCCTATTGAAAGAACTTGGAGTAGACTTCTACAGATTTTCACTCTCGTGGTCTAGAATTCTACCGACGGGTTACATCGATGGTGGAATCAATGAACCTGGGGTTGCCTACTACGAAAATATTTTAGACCTCTTAGAAGAAAACGGGATCGAACCCATGATCACGTTGTACCACTGGGACTTGCCTCAGCCGCTCCACGAAAATGTAGGAGGGTGGCTTAATGAAACCATCGTAGATATTTTTGCAAATTATGCACGCCTGGCTTTTGATTTATTTGGGGATAGAGTAAAGTATTGGGTTACGTTTAATGAACCTTTATCAATTTGTCAGCAAGGATATGAAACCGGGGGAAAGGCTCCAGCAATAAGTGATAACCCTGGTGTCGACTTATACATATGTGGTCATATGGTTCTGAAGTCGCATGCTGCGGCTTACCACATTTACGACAAGGAATATAAACCAAAACAGAAAGGTATTATTCATTTTTTATTTATATCTTTTATTTAACTAAATAATTTGAATTTGAATTCTATATATACTTAACAGGAAAAATATCTATCGTCATCAATACTAACTGGGAAGAGCCTGGAAGTGATGATGCAAAAGACGTAGAAGCTGCCGAACGGACTCTGCAGTTTCGTGTAAGTTTTTAACGCTTTTATTTCATTTCGTTCTTATAAGTACCTTTACTGAAGTTTGGATGGTTTGCAAATCCCATCGTGCATGGAAATTATCCTCAAGTTATGATTGATCGCATTGGAAATAGAAGTGTACAAGAAGGATTTACACAATCACGTCTACCACAATTTACAGATGAAGAAGTAGAATCCATTAAAGGAACTTACGATTACATTGGCCTGAACCACTATAGCACTTCTCTAATCAAATGGAGGGAAGATATTGAAATTGGGGAACCGAGTTCCTCGAAAGATATGTCTGTTCAAGAGTCTATCGACTTCAGTTGGGAAACTTCAGCTTCATATTGGTTATTCGTAAGAAAGATTTTGTGTTTTCTTTCAGAATGTAAGAATGTGATATTCTAGGTTGTTCCTTGGGGAATGAGAAAAATTTCGAAATGGGTCAAAGACACCTACAATAATCCAGAAATTATAATTACTGAAAATGGGTATTCTGATGCTGGTGGGATATTGAATGATGATCGTAGAATTAACTACATTCGAGTAAGTTCTCGTAAAATAATTAACTTCAAAAAAATTCACAGTTTTCCAAATAGGAATATTTAAGTAGTTTGTTAGAAGCTATTTATGATGATGAAGTAAACGTCACTGGTTATACCGCATGGAGTCTCATGGATAATTTTGAATGGTTCCGTGGTTACGCGTACGTATACAGTACACAATTCTTGAGATAAAAATTGTACTCATCATAGATTTTTTATTCAGAGAGAAATTTGGTCTATATTCGGTTAACTTCACTGATCCAGAGCGACCTAGAACACCTAAAACATCCGTAGACTATTATAAATCCATCCTAACAACCAGGTGCCTAGTAGAAGAATGCACAGAGTAAAAACTGAAATACTTACAAGGACAGCCATTGCATAAAGTTATACAGGAAAATAAGCGCTTGCAGAAACTAATAAATTTTATTGCCAAATGTATTAAATAATAAATATTAAACTTAAACGAGAATAATGCGTAAATTAAAAATATGTCTTTTTTTCTATACAGGGTGATTTCAAAATGTGTACAATAAAAAACATAGGGAATAACTCACAATAAGATTTATTGCATTTTGTAAAGTTCACGTTCCTGAGGGGTAGCGCTGTCTAGAAAAACATTTTTGAAATTAAATGTAAATTGATTTACACGCCACTATATACCATAACTACAATTCAATGAATGGCACAGAACGACTAGAATTAAGAACCAAAAAAGCGGCTCACTGATAAATAAAGTGCGAAACCACAATAAGGGCCAGTCATATATCAGTCGGCTAACTTCTTTGACAATGGTCAAGCGAGCGTGTTAACATGGTAATGCTTTATGCTGTGGCGGACGGCAACGCCAAGTTGGCCCGCGAATTGTGGATCGAACGCTGTGTCCGCGAACATTTACATTAGTGGTACAGCGTCTCCGATATCATGGTACCTTCGAGCGTCAAACTCACGATCGTGACCGTGATAGGACCGAAAGAATACTGCAAGCTGAAGAACAAATTTTGGAACGCGTCGAAGAAGAGCCCGTCATCAGCACTCGCCGACTTGCAGCTGAAGTTGGTATTTTACAATTTGTAGTGCATCATACGTTACAAGAACAAGGACTACATCCATACAACGTTCAAAAAGTGCTAGCTTTAGAACCCGCTGATTTTCCACGTCGTGTCATGTACTGCGAATTTTTAAACAATGTGTTGGAAGAGCAGCTAGATGTCGAAGTGCTTCTAAGTGAACGAATTCGGATGTGATACTTGCATGATGGAGCACCACCAAAGTCATTTAATAGATAAGGTTGCCACATTGGGATGCCATATTGATACGTCACAAGGGGCTCTCAAATGGCGCGAAAATTGCCCGTTTTAAATACTCGAGTAACGCACTAAAAACGGAAACTTTTAATCAAGTGACCGCTTCTACTTCGCAAATTTCAATCCTGTGTAAAGAACAATTTAATAAACCTCAAGAAAAATGTTTTGCTGCCAGTAGAACTTGAAAATAACAAATGCGACACTATTAACTGATTTTTTTTATGCAAAAAATCTGAAAATCTGCATTTACTGGTTTACTTTTTCCTTTCTAGTAATATATCAAAACATTTCATTTTAGCTTAGACACAAATAAATTTAATTTAAGGCAAAATAGGGTTACACGAGTCGCAGTACCAACACCAAACGTCAGAATTAGCGGTACAGATCGTACAGATTAAAGGCATCAGCTGATCGGTCACACCAACTCAAAATTACAAGTTACTAAAAATTCCCAAGTAATACCAACCTCATTTTGACGTCACATGGGGCTGACACCTCTCCTCCCCCGTAAGCGATTTTGCCCACATACTCGTTTATGTGGTAACCTGTTCTCTATTAACTAACCTTGGAGCACCACCACATTTTGCTAGGCCAGTAGCTGAGAAACTAGAAACGGTCCGGTAGTTTGGCTTCCACGTTCACCAGATCTCAATCCGTGTGATTTTGTCTTTAGAGTTGGATGAAGTAGTTAGTTTATGAAAATCAACAGTGTCCAGAAACTATTGAAGAGCTTAAACAACGAGTGGAAGTGGCAGCCACTACAGTTCGTAGAACTCCCGGAGTTTTTTACGTATTCGTGCAAACATGTTAGGACGTGCTGAAGCTTGTATTGCTAGTCAAGGACAACATTTTCACCATTTATTCTAAAAAAGTAGTAGCATTCTGAGTTGTTCCTACGTTTGTTCTAATAAACAATGTGAAATCGTTGTGGTAAGGACCAAACATCTAAAAGAATAAAAAGTCGATCACCATGAAGCATTACCCAAAATTGGTCCTTCTCAGGACCACCATTTGATTCTACAATCAGTGATTGCTCTATCCAACACTTCTCCTCGAGTCAAAGGACGGCGTACTGACAGTTTCCTCATAGATCTGTTTAACACACGACGTCAAGCCCTGTAATGATGATATCTCAAAATGTTGGCAAGTAAATCACATGTAAAGTATGCAAATTAGAGTGTCCATATACCGTTTCTTATTAATCTGACCTTATTTTTAACTTCGTACACGTATGTAAAGTTGCAGACAAAACTTGACGACAAAGAAATGTCATTTGCGTCAAGATTTTCAGGAGATTCGTATATTATAAGCTATATATCGACATGAAGTCAGCCACAATTCAATGTGGTAAAAACTTAGGTTAACACCATAGTGTTAATTATACGTCAAGTGAATGTTGATTGTTTATATCCCATATATCTAATACATATTACTAAAGGCTCGGTTCTTGGGCCTCTATTGTTTAATATGTTTATTAATGACATAACTTTACATTTAACAGCGAAATGCCTAATTTATGCTGATGATCTAAAAATTTTCCATCAAATTGTATACGTAATAATGTACTGTTGAATTAGTGGGCCGTTTTTTAATCACTCGGTATAAAACTAAAAAAAATTATATTCTAATGACAGGCAGCAAAAGGGACACCCCCGTGGTGGCACAAGCAAAATGACACTTCACTTAAACATTCTGTTCTTAAACCATATTCCATATTTTCTGGAATAAGTATTTGTCGCTTACATTCACCATAGGTGAAAAAATTCCAGCAAATTTAGCAGAGTCATTATGCCGTCAACGCTTTTTAACAGAACTGTCTTGTTCATCTGCCGACATCGTCAGTGGTCGATCACTGCGTGGGTTGTTTTCGAACTTGTTTCTACCACATTTCAAACTGTAGATACTCGAATAAGTGCAAGCTCATCACGTATTGTTCTCGGCAGCCGATAATCTCCCTTTCACTTTCTAGTGCACAAAAATGCTAACAAAAGTCATAGCCTGTCTTCATTCAAACACAAGCAATTGCAAAAAACACAAATCGAAACGTAATTTACACGTTAACATAAAAGATTCACATTAAAAATAATTTATTAGACACGTCATGACAAATTGTTATTGCCATATTGCTTGATCTCGAAAGCAAAACGACCGAAATCTCTTAGCCCCCAGCGCAGCAGAACACTTTTAAGGCAGTTCCACCGACTATAACTCAGCTCATAACCTAATTTAAAGATATACCCACGCATGTGCTTTGTCTTTATTTAAAATACACAATAACATTAAACTATCAATAGTTCGTGGGTTACACTTTCGTTAACTGATTGTTTCTTCTCGTACAAAAATAAGCGAAGAGTTCATTGTTATGGCAACAAAATACCAGCAGTACCTCTTCCTCGGGTTCGTTTCCCAGAACCAGACCATAAGAAAGAAAGTGCAGATTTATAGCCTGATAAGGGTCATACCATGACAAGTAGTGGTCAGACTGGAAATGTAAATTATCCTGAAGAGTAATGAAACAAAACTGTACGTGCATTTGCTGAAATATAATTAATGTACTTCATTAGAACATGATGAACATCTTAGAACCTTTGCTCTCATGTAGGTCCCTGCGTTGCTCATATATTAGCTCCTTCAAAAGCCGCTTCCGATATCGCACGCCGAAGGGTCTTAATTCCGTTACTCTTCGTTGGATGTTGCAACCGCAAAGAAAAAGAAGTGCGCTTCGTAAGAACCACCGGCTTGCAGCGGTCCAAGATACAACAAAAACCGGTTATTTATCATCTTATAAAATAATTACATACGATATAATTACTGTAAGTACTCTCGCCTTAAGGTAATACTTATAATAATAAATGATGGATTCTCCACGAACGTTGGTACGTCTGTAAAAACTAGTTCTGTAGCCGTGGTACGTACTGTAGAAGTAGATTCAAACATTTATCATTCGGTTGCTACCCTGCCCGACGTGTAATTAAACCATTCGGAATTAAAGGCGTTTCGGACAAACCATAATCAAACCGCAGATATTCAGACGATCATCTCGTTGAAGCTTAACGCAAAGTAATTCCAGGAACTCGTTAACATTTTAACAAGAATTGAAGAAACGTACATGACACAAAACATAAATTTCACAAATTCATGGAAATACAAGTTATTGTGGTATCGCAAAACAGGTAAATTGGTACAAAAAATTCTTCCTTAAACGAAACATTGCTAAAAAAGCGAACTAAAATGGTACTAGGAACACATTTCAATAAAGTGAAATTTTGAATGAGCATCTGAATGTCAGAAGTATCTTAATTTGAGAAGTTTACGGGGTAAGTATGTTTCAAACTAGGATGTCATAGCAAATTTGTTTTAACAGATTTATTTTTTTTACAACGCCTGTACAAGGTGATTACTAAACATGCGGCAAAAATTCAGGGAGTTTATTTTAATAGTTTTTTGTTCTTGAATGATTTTCGGAGAGACGTTGTGTTTTGAAGATACGAGGCGATAAAAATAAATTAAAACTTTTCGGTCCTCAGATTTAAAACCCTTGGATTTTTGTTTGTGGAGCCATTTGAAAATATTAGTATACACTACCATCTTCTTTAATCGGATAATTAAAGAATGTAATGCAGCACGAAACAACCCTTACATTTTTGGAAAAATTCGGCAAATGAGGAGAAAGTTGAGTAGCTGATGGTAATTTGTCATTTTCAGCAGTTTTTCTAGCGCTCTATATCTTCGAAACAAACCGTCTTTACAAAAATTATTAAAAAGACAAAAAATCTTAAAATAACCCAAGGAATAACCTCCTGAATTTTGCTACATGTTTAGTAAACGCCCTGTATGTTACCATAAATAATATTGGTATATTAATAAACGACATGTATAGACGCATATCAATATACACATTTTAAATAGGATATACGTACCAAACTTTTAAGATGACATCTTCAAAAATGGATGGATAGATGTATTTTAATTAGCGATTTATCAGGTTGATGATAATCTCAAAGCAGGTATTAAATTTGCGGCCATTTGGCGTAGTAGCTTCTAAGATAAATAGATGTTGTACAATTTTGAATATGTTTCAAAAAATTTGCAAATAAGTACATATACACAAAATCAACGACAGATATAGAAGCTGTAGAAGCATAACATTTTGTTTCTTTTGTATTTAGAAAAATTTTAAGAA